CAAGGTCAATTCATCTTGCTCCACGACAACGCCAGGCCCCAAACTGCCCAGTTCGTCAAAACAGCCCTCCAAAAGCTTGAATGAGAGGCTCTTCGGCATCCACCGTACTCTCCGGATCTTGCACCTACCGACTACCACCTTTCCGCTCTCTGTCAAACCAAATGAGGAGTGTTACCTTCGATGGCGAAAAGGTTCTTGAAAACTGGCTCAACAACTTCTTCGACACCAGACCGGCCAATTTTTGGCGAAACGGCATCAACAAATTGGTCGAGAGATTGGAGGAGGTCGCAAGCAGTAACAGGAGGATACATCATCGATAAATTTATCATTATAATTATTGGTTTTTGTTAAAATAAATCTCTGTGAAAAAACTCTACGAACTTATGTTACAACCCAATAGCAGCACTCACAGCACTGCTCTCTGCTGGCCATTATTGGTATTTTTCATGCCCCAATAAATTTTTATGTGTCATTATTATTTTATTCATATGTACAATCACCGAAATTCACCGAAATTGTCTTCATATAAGTGAAGATATGGTGTAATTCTATTGCCAGAAGTTTAAGATTGCAATGTCTATGACAAGTTACGAATCTGAACTTAATGGGGATCTTATGAATATGGTAGGACAGCATCCCTTCTCATTTCAATTTTATCATTGGAACATATGGTATTCAATTTTCTAATAAGTTGTTCTTTGTTGAGTCTTGTAAGTGTACATATAAACACATTATTAGCATTGCCATATTCCCACCCTTTGTTTCTTCCGTTATAGATAACTCCCATTTCTTTCGAAGAAATTATAAGATAAAACTTTATAACTTCCCCGCACAAATGATATCATAATTAATATTATTATTATTAATTTTGCCCAATAAAAAAGGAATTTGTTCCGCTATTTTTCGATTAATTCTCTCTTGATTTTGACTTTCTTTGGCGCAGATGACTAGTAGTTGGCATAATAATAACCTTGCGGCGTGTTAATCGAGGTTCCTGCTGATTTGAGCCTTCTTGAAGTTCTCAATACTTCCACTTCAATTGGATGTTGTTCAAGTTGTGAAGGAATGTGGGTGAGCTGCCATTCATCTGTCTTTTGCTGTAGTGAGCGGTCGTGTTATCAATTAATGTCGCAAACGAACCTTCATGAAGCAGGTGCCTAAAGGAACATACCAAGAAAAGAGGAACTGCATTCTCACCCAAAATGTCGGCTTTCCCTAATACGGCTATGCTCGATGCCAATGCATCTGACTTATTGAGCTAAACTTAAGAAATCGACACCGTGAAAACGCAGCAGATCTTACCCCTATTGATCATAATTGCTGGTGAGTTGTAGTCTATTTCTTTGAACCAAGATCGCGAAGGAAGAGAGGCTCATAGCAATTCGCAGCGTTTCTGAGGCTGGATGTGACATCGCAGCCTCTCTTCGCCAAGAGCTTGCAGAAAAGGTCGTGATGGATATCCTGGACGAACTCGATATTGAGACAAGGTCAGTTGCAATTTAAAATAGATTGGGGAAGCTAGGTGATATATCAAAGTTAACTCGTTTGTTTTGAATGTGGCACCACAGCAGTTACAACCTTCTACGCCCTACCTAGGCTTTTCCCAATCTCACATTGCCACATACGTGGGAGCCCAGATCATTGTAAAGGGTTGTCTTAGAAACATCGCTATCGCCAACTGCGCCTTTAAAAAATATTCTAAACGAGTAGTGATCTGACCATTCAATAGCACGTAATTAGTTTAGGGACCTAACTATGTGCTATTGAATATTACCTCCACAATCATGTTCACTATAATGTGGGCAAATATTCGTACATGACCTTCCGAGACATTTTTTTGACATAAGATTTGATTACGAACGAAGGCAAACAGAAGTTGGTCTGAATAATACATGAAGTGATTGCTTCAAAAAATTTATTCTCGAAACCCTAGTTTATGCCCGTACAACAAAGCTTTGTGCCCTTCTCGGATCCTTGATTGAGGATTGCTTCGACCAATACGCGAGAGCCATCATAGTTCGGTTTTCTGGAAAGCACATATAAAAGCATCTTCAGAAAACTATAACACTACCACGGTGAACTCCTCCTATGAAATTGATATTACCTGTGAGCTTATGAGGCAGTAAAACAGAGATCTAAACAATACTTTACTCACTCGCTTTCTTTGGAAGTAGTCTAATTGTATTGATCAGATGGATATGTTGTTCCAGGTAACAGGGAGTTTTCTTTCGATATAAAAATTGCCGATCAGATTGGGATATTCTGCGGAGACTGTCTAAAACTTGTATTTCTAAAGGGGTCCATCCAATCCAAGTCATCGTCACAAACTGTGGCTGTGGCATTGTCGAGAACAGTCAGAAGTAGCTTGTTGTACCATAACTACGAAGGTAAAGCAAGTTCATAGTGTTACTGTGACCAGAGATGGAATGGAAAGCCTATGCCCGGTTCTCTCTTCGATGAAGAGAAAGTGGACCTTTATTCAGTTCCTTCTAAAAAATTCTCAGCCCTTAGTAAAAAAGGCTGTGGTTCTGAAGGCAGATATGCTATCCAAATTTCCAGAAACACTATTTGCTACAGCAAGTATCTTGCTGTTCACGTATGCCTTCTTCAAACATCGTAATACTGCTGTTTTCGTGTTGCAGCATGATAGTTTACGGTACACAGCTGTTGTCGTCGTCTAAGCATTTTTTAAGAAGGCGAAACGAGGCAGAGTGAAGGTGGATCAGTACTTACTGATCAGTGCGCGGTATAGTCCAGAACTTTTCCATTAGGCAAATGAACATTCTATTCCATCGATTCCAGGCCTAGTGAAAATGAGAATGCCTATTCAGCATGAAGTCAATGCGATTTCGGAATAGAGTGCTTAGGAAAGCATCTCTGGAAAGGGTCTGCTTGTCGTTTTTGTTTGTTTTATAGTCAGAAGGACCTGTAAGAGTGCGATCAATGTGCATGTGCTCTACTACATATCAACAATGAGAGATATGTAATACATAGTGCACATGCACATTGAGCATAGGCAAGTACAATATTCACCCCAATTATTCAAAACAAATCACAAGAAAAAGCGAATTCGCCAGGGCTTTCATTCGAAGCCCTGGCGACAATTTGGAGACGGGTCATGCGCCCGAAAGTAGACAATGTTCTTCAATAACGCGGAATTTAACCCCCTATATAGTAAATTAATCCCTTTTATAGGACTAAAAATCAATCAAATTACAAGATAAATCCCATGACATGTTATTTGCTGCTCATCTGTTGTTCTGGTAAGCCGTAAATATAATATTGGGTTGTCCGAAA